CCCAGGCACACCGCGCGGCTCAGGCGCACCCCGCAGCAGATTACAGCCTCGCAGTCCCGGTTTCTACACCTCACTTACTTTGCACGTCATGTAGGCCGGGACAATGGCCACACCTTTCTGAAACGCAGGTCAGCATGGCCATGGCCCTGAGAAAGGACCGCTCCTGCTGCCCCGTCTCCTCCCCTCACTGTGCTTCGCCTACTCTGTCCATCTCTCTTTATGTGCAGATGACCGCTAGGGATTCTGCCAACATCCTTAGCTAAAACATAAGGGGGCCGTAATCACCACTGGCGGGAGGCCGCGGGATGCAACTGGACATCACGCTATTCAGGCCCCAGTGCCAGCCGGCGGCAGGGCTCGCTGCGCTGGGTCCGAAATGGCCCCAGACGGGCCAGACGGGCCAGATGGGCCTGAAGCAGAGGCCACCTCCTTCCTGGGCTGTGCAGGCCTCGGGAGCCGTGTCCACTGCACAGTCCGATGACATCAGTTGCCAAGTCCTGTGGTGTCCGTCTGCCTGAAGGTGGGCAGCTTAATGACCCTCCGCTTGGGGAGGCTGCAGACTTCACGGGCTCTCGCAGCCCACGCGCCACCTCCCCTAGAGCTCCCCTGGTGCCGGGTAGAGGGCCCTGCTCTCCTTTACCCCCCAGCGATCTGAGTGAGACCTCTGGGCCTGGCGGCTGAGCTGCCCCGGTGGCCTGAGCGGGTGGCCCTGACCGTGCTGGGACCGTCCAGCCGGGTGGCTCCCTGGTGGTCAGCTCCATTCACAGCCCTGCGCTGCCGAGGAGGTGAGGCCTGGAGGGCAGGAGGGCAGGAGCGGGGAAGTGGGCAGACCCCTGAGCCCTGGGCGGGAGGAGCCCCAAGTCTGTTTCAGTTCAGAACAGGTAGTTTCGAGCCTGACACGGCTCCAGTGTGACGGCGGTGGGCGTCTGTATGAGCAGGCAGCGTGCTGGGTGGTGTCTCTGCAGTGACTGCTGCCTTCTGCCACAGGAGGCGTAAGTGTGCTCTCAAAGCAAGGCTACTTGTCCAAGTGACTATTTAAAATATTTATGCGCACAAGAGCTGGGGTCCAGGCCAGAGCTGCGGGGATGAGAGGAGTCACCAGAGACAGAGTGGGGAGCAGAACAGGCAGATTCACCAAAATCCACTGCTGAGGGGAGCGGCCGGGAGACAGGAGGGGCCTGCTGCACCCTGGGGGTCACCCCCTGGCGGGGATCGAACTCGGGCTGCAGCGGCTATGGGCAGCTTCACAGTGCTGCGCTTTAACCAAACATTGAGCTACCAGGGAGGCCCTGTGCAAGCGAATCTCATCTTTAGCTAGAAACTGATGTAAGAGTTAAATGTTCTTCAATGTAGTTGTCACATTTGGGAAGTGGAAATTTAACTGCTTGAATTTTTTTGATGATAAAGGAAAAGATCACTTGATAATAATTAATGTCAGTCCTCCCGGGGCTGTTTCCATTTACTTGGTGTCTAAACAAAACCACGCAGGAACATTCACCTGTCTCTTGGACAGTGCAGGCGTGTTACGCATGTTATAAAAACAAAAGCCATTTTATACAAGGAGCAGTTTTGTTTTTTTAACCAAGTCCCTATCCCTTTCACGCCATCTTGATATTTTGCGCCACACTTGTATTGGGTTTTGTCCAGGGGATGAATTTCTTGCTGCCCGTGAAAGATCTCCCCCCACGCCTGGCCAGCAGAGGGAAGAGGAGGTCTCATGAAGAGTCTCAAGGTCACAGGCCCAAACAGGGCTGTCAGGCTGCCCCTGGGGCGATGGGCTCGGCTCAGTACAAAGGCTTCCTCCTCCGTCACCGTCGGCCGAGCCCACCACGCTCGGGCATCCACCCAGAGCACACAACCAGCAGCCTGAGAAAGTCTGCAATGCACTGCGGCTTCCCGGACAATGACCAGTGTGGCTGAGGCTCTTTGAAGTGATTGTCCTTCCCTGAAAGCTCTTTCTGCCACACGAGCCGTAATTGTGCTTTTGAAAACAAGACACACTTTCAGCACTATTTGTGCAAGTGAATTTTACCTCTAATTAGAAGCCCTCTCGGACCGCGCCTCCCTCCGCAGGTCCGGGCTGAGCGGAGCTGACGGCCAGGGGTCACTGAACCGGCTCGGACAGCGCCACCCGCTCAGCCGCCGGGCCCAACGGGTCAGCACTGCAGCCCAGCCCCCGCGTCTGCCCCTGCGCTCCGCTGGGTCTCTGGCAGGTCAGGACAGGCCAGGGGCTCAACACCTAAGCGCCGCCGAGTGGCCACTGGAATGAGACCGGCGGTTTCTGCTCCGTGGTTCCCTGTTGAGCCAGGACAGCAGAGACGTGGCCACTCTGGGCAACGCGGAAGGAGTTGGAGGGAGCTCGGTGTGGCCAGGCAAGTCAGGATGACTAAGACAGACGGAGGGCGACCGGACCGAGCAGAATACTTCAAAACTGCCGGGTGCTGATCTGCGAGATCAGGCTTTTGAGGTGAAAAGGGAAGGGCAGGGGGGAATGACCAGAGGCCAGCAGGGAGAGTGGGGGTGGGGAAATAAAGCCTCATTCTCCTCCTGGCTAAGGAAACGTCCCTCCTTCCTCCCGTGAATCTCTGCACCGTTTTCATAAGCCCCACGGCCCCACGGCCCACCGAGGTCTGTGCTAAGCTGGGGAGGGTGGACGGATTCCTGAAAAGCGCCGAGTGTTCCCTTTCCAGCAACAGCTCTCGATCTTCACCGTGACTCCAGTCCATCCCGTTTCTCGATCCCCGCTGCCCAAAGGGAGCCAGCAGGGAGCAGCACACAGCCGCCTCCCACCGAGTTACCGGTTCTCTCACGTGAACGCAGCTCCGCGTAACGCACGAGTTTGCCGCCCCTAGCAGTGATCACGAGCCCCCCAGCAAGGCTGCCGAGGAAGGCAGTGTGCACCCACCTTCTAAAGACGCCAACTGCGTGAGCCCACACGGGCCCCAGGAGAGGGGGCGCTGCAGACGCGCCCCAGGGGAAGGGACCCGGGAGAAGCAAAAGGGTTCAGCGGGAGAGAGCTTGTGTGTTGCGTCTGGCCCCTGTGCACAGCGCCAGTGCCCGGGCGGGGACGGCTTGGGGCACCTCGGTCGGCTGGGCCTGGGGCCCCCGCTGCCCTCAGGCTCGGGGAGTGCCTCCTGCACTGCTCCTCCCGCTGCCCACTCCTCTCAGCCGCTTCCGAGCTGGGTGTGGGTGC